ACTAATTAGATTTTTAATTTTTCTTAAAACTATGTAAAACATTTCCATTCATTGATTATTAGATATTATTAGCATTAAATCTATATAAATAAAAATGAATTTCCATCTTTTTATGGTATAAGCCGTTAAACGAGCAGACGGATCACCTGATGGTAAGCAATCGGCGTTCTTCGACAAAAATGAACAGCCCCAATGCCACTTCACCTTACTAATCCCTTGGGCTATATCGTTTATCGATAACTTTGGTTCTCTATCGGATCACTTCGACGGAATCGCTGTAGTTGTCAAAAATAAACTAACATTGAGCTTTTTTATCTTTTACAGGAAAACTTTAGTATCCCAGGACTCAAAATTCCAGTCGCAAGTTGCCTCTCTGACAGACTTAGAAGACACAAGATGTTCTGAAGCAGAAAAAACGAGGGAACTCATTGCTGCGTATAGAAAAGAAATCGAAGAGAAGGAGCAGGAAATACAACGTAAGTTGTTTTTATAATAACTATCGTGAGACATACTGAATTGGGTAGTTTCTAAGGTATCAAAATTAAAAATCTAATTAGTCCGTCAGTTAGATACCGATGTCTGATTGTCGATGGTCTGCCTCGATGGCCGAGTGGTCGCAAGTGCGACTGCCGGACAAGAGGTCTCGGGTTCGATTCCCGGGTCGTGCAAAGTATTACTGTGTTTTTAAAAAATTCTCAGTAGTAGCACGGAGTCTGGAAATGAGCCCGGTATATGGCAATAGGCTCACCCCCTATTACATGGGACTCATAAACAGTGAAAAGTGGGTGTTACTTCTGTGTGCATCTCTGCCTACCCCTTCGGGGATAAAAGGCGTGATGTTATGTGTATGTAACACATACACATAACATCACGCCTTTTATCACGATAATGAAAAAATATTAGACACGTATTTTTTTATTTTCTCGTATAAAGTTACAATATTTTGATAAAATGGAGTTAAGTTTAGGAGTGAGAGGTCGTTACGTCACAACGTGCTACATTTTGTTGCACGCTGTGACGTCACGCGACATTTCAACTCAATATATCGTCGAAAGCATTTAAATTTGTGAGAAACGAAAAATACGTGTCTAATGCTTTAAAATAATCAACCAGACGGACATTAAAATAAAATTTAGGAAACTAGTATATTAACTAGAAATCGCGGGTTACTCACGTGAATATACTGAGAAAAGCTCTACTAGTTTCGAGCCACAGAGGGACTCTTTTTCTTTATATTTGATGGGCCGACGTTTGACCACTATCTCGCCTGGTGATAAGCGATGATGCGGTCTACGATGGAGCACGTCGTCCCTTAAGCAACCTATTCACTCGGGCCTTGAAGACACCCAGGTTATACCCTTCAGGAAATACAGACTCTGTTATACCCTCTTCCTCATGAGCAGCGTGCGCGATATATGGCCGATAGGCGGCGCGACATCTGTCAGTATATTCACGTGCGTAACCCGCAATTTATAGTTCATTTACAACGTAAGTTTTTAACTAAAATAGCTCAACACACTTTTCTAAGGTCGACCTGTAACGAACTATGTAACAAAATCTAAGAATCTGAATTACACACACTTGTAATTGTTGTATCATCGTGAAACTAGGCAATTGTATGTAGATTAGATGACAATACAATATTATGGTGCTATCGAGCTGGTTTGATGGTGGAACATTGGACTGCCTACTAGTAAACATATCGAGTTTGGACTCATTAGAAACGTTCATTTTTCTTGATGAAAACATCTTATTAAAAGCGTGTTTTTAGTTTCTGAACTACAAGTTTATTAATACTAGTGTTTACCCATCGGAGGTGATCATATGTCCGCCATATTCTCTGTTTAATATATGCAAAAATTCACGCGAAAATTTGAATAGTGGAACCTATGCGACGACCGTTCGGACGGCTCGAGTGGTGTGCGAGAGCGATACAGCGTCATACATAACTCACTAATTCTTGACAAAGTACACTTGAAAAAACTATAAGTAACTACATGTTTGTGCAGGTAGTAATGTTAACCTTTTTGTTTGTGGACACGTTTGGTCTTTAATAGGATGTAGCTACCAGATGCCTGACTGGAACTAAATAAACAAATGTCCCGTTAACGTCGATCCCAAGACCTTGAGACCACACCACTAAAGAAATCGCAGTCATCCCTATTTCTCTTTGTAACTGTTGAACAAGCTGTTCAATCGTCCAGCGAACTTTAAATTATTTTTAGTACATTTAGTTCCAATTTTGAAACTAGATGGCGTTGTTAATATAAGTCCATTCTGAATCGCGGTGTCAAGATTCTCCGCCGATTAATAACCATCGATGGATGTTTTATGTTTAGTTACGTTTAATAGTTCATTAGATAGTAAGAAGATTAAGTGTTAATAATAATATACAGTGTGATATATATAAAACAGTGGTTTGTGTAGTACCCCTTAAGATATCCCTGTTCAGCCAGATTGGCAATATAGTCGTGAACAAAGAGTATAATAAGTATAGGGGTCGTGAAGTTTAGTGCGCTGTGACCACATTATCCTCAAGCTGATTCTAGCCAAACCATGTCATCAAAAGATCTATCTTTTGTGCTATTCCTAAGAATGTTACAAAACACATATATTTGCGTGGTACTCCCGACAAAGAGAACTAGGTAATTACTCTTGTTGCCAAAAGTAATGACACTAATTCTTTGTTTACTTTCAAAACAATGAAGGAACAAAACTTCTTTATTTCTTGAAGTTATTTCGAGAGCCATGACGTGGTAGGAATTCCAAACAAATATACTAATATTATATAGGGTGGAATTTTATAATGCCACAAGAAGAGGAAGTACTCTTAATACTTAAGATAGAACTTTTACTCAAAGAAAACATTACTTAAGTTTTGAAAAGAAACAAAACTGAATTTTAAGATTTTTAAAATTCGCTTGCCGCACACGGTTATCGAACCGACAAAAATCAGTAAAAGTTTCGATCGATCGTTCATTGTTTTCCTTTCATTATATTTATGAAGTGTGTTAGAGAGATTTCATCCTTATTTACCCTAACAATCGATGCAATAAATGTACAGAGTGCAATTTTTACAGATTTTAGTCGGTTGAATTACCGTGTGCGGCAAGCGAATTCTAAAAATTTGCATTCAAATGCATATTTCTTTCAACCCACTAAGCGTCAAGGTTATGGCATACCCTCTTATGTAGAGGAGACTCATGGTCTAGCTGGATTGTCACGGCCTGTTCAGAAGACTTCAGTACTGTATCGTTTTTAAATACCTCTATAATAGTAGCATATTAATCTTCAAGAAAAGAGCGTGGAATACGCTCTTTTAAAGGCCTGCAACGCACTTGTAACTTTTCTAGTATTGCGGGTGTCAATGGGCGCCGCTGATTGCTTACCAATTACCATCAGGTGATCCGTATGCTCGTCTGCCTCATTTTCCATAAAATAAATATAATAATAGAAGAAAAGAAGACGCTCCTGTCTCGCTTCTGCATCCCACACTGAGCAAATCTTTGTGTGACCCACAGATTGTTGTTCTTGTCTGTGGGTGATGTGTATGTGAACTTGTATCTTTGTAAACGTACACACGATACAAACCTAGTGTGAGGCCACGTTTAAAAAATCCTTTTGATGATTAAAAGATGTAGTGTTATGTAAAATCAAATAAATGAGTCTTTACTTTGACATTGACAGTATGCGACTGGTTTTTTTCGTCTCTTTTCTCTAATAATATCTTCGGATTTATTTCGTTGAGCGATCTAAAATTGTTCATGTCCTGGGACGCGCCGGACTTCACCCTTTCGGTGTTTGCATTGTTGTATTTACTGTTGAACTTGATGCACAGGAGTTACAGCAGTTCTGGGAGGTCGTGGCGGGCTTGTTCCATTAATGGATTCCTCGATTGACGTTCGATGCGAACAGACGTATTTATAACTTACTATTGAATTAATGCAACAGTGACCTACTAAATTGCTGATACTGTAACTTAGTATTTTACAATGAAAACATAATCCAATCATTGTAGTTTGAAAATGGATAAAATACCGAGTGATCTGGCTTCCTGTGCCTCACCAATAGAGAGTAGCCGTAAATCTGGTTTCTCTATAGAAGCTGTGTCCACGCCCGACATTCAGAACTGGATGGCAAGCATTGAGAAGCAGTTGAACGAAGTATGTATTATTGCCACAGAGGGCAAACTCAATTCGGAGCAAAAACTCAAAATTTCTAACTTGAGCCGAAAAATTGGTGCTGATGTGTCGCAAATGGCTGTCCTCTACCAAGCTTTAAAGCAGCAAGCCCGCTTAGCCGTCAACATTATGGATGAATTGAGGGAAAAACAAGATCTATCAGACCAAATGTTGGAGATCAAAAACACTCTCAAGAACTCAAATACAACAAAAAACGAGTCTTTCGCTGATATGGTGAAGAAAGGTAAAAGTTTCGTGCGACCTAACAACTTGTGCTCTGTTGCTATTTATCCAATAAATAAACAGAAGTCTAGTGATGAAACTAAATCGATTGTGCAAAAAATTATAAGTCCTGAAGAATTGAAGCTACATGTGCGCGGAGTCCGTCGAACTCAAAATGGAGGTGTTATAATTAGCACAGAAACCAAAGAAGATGCCGTCAAAGTCAAGGATGCAGTAGGCATATCGTTGTCTGGACTCTTTGCTGATGAACCCAAAAAGCGCCAACCACGACTCACAATTATAGGAGTGCCGACGTCCATGAACGATGCTGACGTAATTAAATGCATATACGAGCAGAACATAACTGACAAGTTCCCAGATATGTCATTAGAGTCCTTTTTAACGGCTGTTAAAATAAGTCACAAATCTGGAAAAAAGGATGCATCGACCTGTAACTTCATAGTAGAGTTTCCAGCAAAGATACGTAAAGCCCTTATATCCCAAGAAAGGCTTTACATAAACTGGACTTCTTGCCCTGTCAGAGATTTTACGCTCGTCACCAGATGCTACAAATGTCAGCAATATGGTCACGCAGCAAAAACGTGCCGGGAGCTCTCCCCATCGTGTGGCCACTGTGGAGAAGTGGGACATTTAACATCTGCGTGTACTAAGAAAGTGGAGTCCCTTAAATGCGCAACTTGTTCTCGGTTTAACAAACCCAGCCAGCATAAAACTGGAGACGTTGAGTGTCCCGCCAGGAAGATAGCGGAATATCGGTACATCAACTCAATCGACTATGAGGGCGCATAAAAACGCATCACACTCTAGGTCTTTCCGAGTTGGTTAACCTTTGCCCTGAACAACAGTTACACAACATAACAGCCTTATTGCTACCTAAGCAATTAATTTCATATTATTGTAATTAGAAAATGACCGAATGTATTGTAACCTAGTTTATATTCCTGCTGATGTTTGCAATTCCTCGGTCGTAGTGATATGTTGTAATTCTGAATAAATGTTAATGTTAGGTATATACTATAATGTTGCAATATTTTTGCCTATCCCTTCGGGGATTTATTGTTATGTAAGTAGGTATATTTTATGTATAACAAATAATTAAATATGCACCTCTGCCTATCTCTTATGAGAATATAGAGTATGAGGTTTTATTTTGTATGTATGTATGTATATTAAAATAATGATATTGTTTACTGTTGCATAATGATAAGTATGTAGTTACGTTTTTAGAAATAAGATGTCTTCCTACAAAAGTAATGTATAGAGCTCCTTTCGCCTGCGATACAGGATTGTCCTAGTGCAGGCATCTAACTTTATGAGATCAATTTTACTTACTTGAAACATATTTTGTATTTTGCATTTTTGAATTATGAATAAATTTTATTATTATTATTATTATTATTAAAAAAGAAACGAAATAACCACGTATCCCATCGCTTTAATCAAACAGCTCAATAAAATCCATTAATTCAACCAAAGTGATCCTAATTTGACATTTGACGACCGAGAAAAGAAAGATGGCTGCCGTTCGAATTCTTAACGGTTTATTTTGAAAAGTTTCGATTGATACCGACGCCATTTTGAAAGATTTATTCAATGTGACTGTGATGTTAGTGAATGAGAGATCTTATTGTTATTTTTATGTGGATTGACTTTATAAACGAGATGTAGAAAGCCATGATATATAAACTTCTTAGTCGTATTTTGTAGGCATACTCACACATAAATTCTTGCTCGGTTTTCGCTGAGAGAGTACGCAGAGAAAATATTTTCGGAACAAACTTGAGTCATGTAGTGACGACAGAATGGAATCCATGTGTCAGTCAACACCGATCTGTGTCTTGAGAGCCGACTAAGGGCCTACACATTTTGACAGAAATTAGGAAATTCATATGTACCTACAAAAATCACACACTTTTTTTAAGGGGAGAAAATCATCGAATGACTGCTCCCGTCTGGGTGAGGCGGGAGGGAGTGTCAGACTCTTACGAACTAAAAACCAACCCGTTCCTACTCCTGCCCTTCGAGCCGGAGCCCCGGCAACCCGTTAAGTCCTCCGCGGCTCCGTATCGGTGTCAGCCCTTCTGGACCCCATCCGTTGTGGTCTGATGGCTCTTTGAGGCGCGCGCGGAATGCGACGTACGCTCGGGTCTGGCTATCCGGCTCGCTGCCGTGCTTACGGTGGCCGGAGATTGTCCCGCGATCCTCGACGCCTGCAGTGACCTTTTGCCCATTTCTATTAAGTCTCAAATAGTAAGGGGAGATCCTATAGCCATACAGATTCCATACTAACTACTTAACATAACATCAAGCCTTTTATCTCCGAAGGGGTAGGCAGAGGTGCATATTACGGCTTACGGCACATAATGCCACTGTACAATGTAACACCCACTTTTCACTATTTATGTTATAAGTCCCATGTAATAGGAGGTTAACCTATTGCCATATACCGGACACAATTCCAGACTCCGTGCTACTACTGAGATTTTATTAACAAAACCGAGTAATACTTTCGGGTTCGACTCGGGAATCGAACCCGAGACCCGATACCCGGCAGTCGCACTTGCGATCACTCGGCCAGCGAGTACCTACTAAATTACTACTACCAAAATATTTTACACAACTCGATGGTTATAAATTTTTTTTGTAAGGGAGGAAAAACATCGAATGACTGCTCCCGCCCGGGTGAGGCGGGAGGGAGTGTCAGACTCTTACTGACTAAAAACCACCCCGTTCCTTCTCCTGCACGTCGAGTCGGAGCCCCGGTTACCCGTTAGGTTCTCCACGACATGGTTATAGACTTGATAGACTTGATTATCGAAACAAACAGCGCTCGTCACTTTTCAAATCGACTAACGATGTTAGTCTAAACATATTAATATAAATTAATTACACGACATAAGGATGTTTTTCAAGCCAAAATCATATAAATGGCTTCCCGTAATTAAAGTTTCCAGAAGTTTCTGATGCGAGCTATATTTGTATCCGATGCAATGTCTTTACACCCACGCTGAGAAATAACATCTCGAGTTACTAACTATCATGAACGACTTTAAAGGATTCTGAGCATAGGAACTGTTATAATAGGGATGATGACAGGGTATGAAAATTAAAAATCTAATTAGTCCGTAAGTTAGGTAATGAAAAAATATTAGACACATATTTTTTTATTTTGTCGTATAATAAAACAATACTTAGATAAAACGAATCAAAGTTTAGGAGTGGGGGCTAAAACGTCATTTCTACGTATAAAATGTACACAGAAGTGACGTCACGCGACATTTCAAATCAATATATCGTCGAAAGTATTCGCTTCTGTAAGAAAATAAAAATACGTGTCTAATGATTTAAAATAATCTACAAGATGGACATTAAAATAAAAATTAGGCATCTACCCTATTGTGTACCTATTTACCTCAATCAAAAATAAATTCTTTCGACTGTTCAATACAATAAAATATTAAAAAATAATCACACTTTCATTAATTGATTTCATGACCAACTTGACTTGAGTATTTTTCCAGCTATTTTTTAAGAAATAAGCATACTGTTTGATGTTAAAAAAACGTGACGTCACATTTTATGGCATAAGCCGGTAAACGAGCAGACGGATCACCTGATGGTAAGCAATCGGCGTCACCCATGGATACCTGGAACACCAGAGGCGTTACAAGTGCGTTACCAGCCTTTTGGGGATTAGGAGTTTGAGGATCGTTGGGGATTCAGGAATTGGGGAGATTGGGGAAGGGGAGGGTAATTAGGCCTCCGGTAACCTCAATCACATGATGAAACACAACGCAAGCGTTGTTTCACGTCGATTTTCTGCTCGCCCGTGGTATCACTCCGGTCGAGCCGGCCCATTCGTGCCGAAGCATGGCTCTCCCACACTTAAAATATAGATTATAGTCTAGATTTGATGGAACTAGCATTGTCGTGTTACAGAATTAAAATGCGAGCTCGCAGCGGCGTACAAGGAGTCGGAGCTGGTCCGGCAGAGGAGCAGATCATTGGAAGAGGAGCTGACGGCTGCCAGGACCTGCTCCTCAAACCTCGCTGACCAACTTCACAGGCGGAATGGTAATAACACAACTACAATTTTTTGTATATACTAAACTGCCTCGTTGCCCAGGTAAAGGGGTCTCGGGTTCGATTCCCGGGTCGGGCAATGTATGACTGGGTTTTTAAAACAAATCTCAGTTGTAACATGGCAATAGGCTCACCCCCTATTACATGGGACTCACAACATAAATAGTGAAAAATGGGTGTTACATTGTACAGTGGCATTAAGTGCAGTTATGTGCACCTTAGCCTACCCCTTCGGGGATAAAGGGCGTTATTATTTATTATGTTATAAAATCTACAATTAATCCCCAAATCTCCAACTTCCAGATGAATCACTACGCCTGATTCGAGCAGAGTTAGAAGATGTGCTCGGACAGCGAGCCGAGCTCGAGTCCCGAGTGCTCGCGCTCGAGCGAGACAAGGAAAGGCTCGAGCAGGAGAAGATACTGCAGGAGCAGAAGGCTCAGGAGGTAATAAGGTCATCATAAAATAGTACAATTAAAAAACGTTGCCCCACACTAGGATTATCTCCTGTGTCGTGGGTGCGTTTACAAACATACAAGTTCACATACACATCACACCCAGACCCGAAACAACAATTTATGGATCACACAAAGTGTTGTTCCGTGCGGGAATCGAACCCGCGACGCGTTGCATGGCAGCCGGTTGCCCAGCCACCGCACCAACCGTGCATTCTATTTTTAACCGATTAAAAAATGGTTCTTAATTCGACCTATATGTATGTATGTCCGTCCGCGATTACCTCACAATTGACTAAACTGATTTTGAGGTAGTTTTTAGAAGAGGTTTTTACACTTAGGAACATCTTTTAATGATTATAAAGTACTAGCTACTTCCGCGCGGTTCCACATTCTCTGTTCAGCTCCTATTAGTCGTAGCCTATAGCCTTTCTCGATAAATGGGCTATCCAACACAGAAAGAATTTTTCAAATCGAGCCAGTAGTTTCGGAGAATAGCGCGTTCAAACAAACAAACAAAAAAACAAACTCTTCCGCTTTATATAATAGTATAAGATTTATATATCGTGGTGGACCGGAGGTTAAGACGCCCGCTTCTCATGCATGAGGGTGCGGACTCGAAACCTACCAACGGCAAGTACCAATGCGACTTTTTCCGAGTTATATGTACTTTCTAAGATTATTTAAACAACATTGACAAACGATGAAGGAAAACATCGTGAGAAAACCTGGGCTTATAATTTGTAATTATAAGTTTGAAATCGCCAACCCGCAATGAGCAAGCGTGGTAATTAATGCTCAAACCTTCTCCGTGTGAGAAGAGGCTTTGCTCAGCAGTGGGCATTTAAACTGTCAAACACCAAGCGGTCACCGGTGACCGCAACCTATTGTTCTATAATTGTGTCTATAATGACGGTACTCGACGAGTTAATGACTGTTGATGATGATGATAAGGTTTATATAATAGTATAAGAGTATAAGATTTGTACATTTAGGAGCTGGTATTACGCCAACAAAAGAAACTCCTTTTCACAAATAAAATCACTTAATTTCCAGGCATTGTCAGCGGCAGAAGCATGCACGACAAAATGGCGCGCTGCCCACGAGGCGGCTCGGTCGCAGGCGGCCGCGCGAGCAGAGCGCATGCTGGCGGACTGCGAGTGGAAGATGAGGGAACTGGAGAAACGGGCGCGGGACGCTGAGAAACATAATAGAGAGGTTAGGTTTTTTATGGGATAAGTCGGTAAACGAGCAGACGGATCACCTGATGGTAAGCAATCGGCGTCGCCCATGGACACCTGGAACACCAGAGGCGTTACAAGTGCGTTACCGGCTTGTATAAAATATTTGTCAACAGTGACCTTACCGCGGGATTTTGAAACCCACCCTTATTGTTATCGTGTCGTATGATCTGAATAAGGAAACTAACTATCGTTTAACTATCGTGAGACATTCAAAATTAACTAATAATCGCGGGTTACTTACGTGAATATACTGAGAAAAGCTCTACTAGTACTACTACTGAGTGAGCTGCGCGACGTCGCCGCGACCGCGCACGCTGCTTATGAGGAAGAATCCCTCTGTATTTCGAAACTAGCAGAGCTTTTCTTAGTATATTTTAGTTCATTCTAAGTTCCACCTCTTATAGTAACATGTTCTATGGTCGCGGCGGTGAACGTCTCAGTCCGTGGTCTCCTAACGGCGCCGTGTGAATAGTCACGCCGCCGATCCACGTGGTCAGGCCTAAGGCGTTAAAATCTGAATATACCCGTTACTTATAAAAACAAAGTTTCAAGTACTTTACCAAACATCATCTTTTCCACAGCTAACAGCCACAGTAGACCAGCTCAAATCGGACCCGAAACCATCACCAGCTCAAGTAGCCGAACTCCAACAGCTTCGAGGACTAGTCACTGAACAACAGCGCTCAGTGCAATCTCTAACATTGCAACTCCAAAGAGTAGAGACGAGAGAAGAAGCTCTAAAGCTAGAAGTCCATAGACTGAAAGAGTTACTAGAGAGGGAGACGTGTAGTGGAAAGGAGAAGGATGAGAGATATCGTAAGGTAAGGTTCTAAGTAAAATATAATTTTACCACCTCTTCTCTTCATGTGGGTGTCACATACCCGGAGTACGGGATTGCATATTTAGTAGAGACTAGATACCTAGCAGTGGTCTTTGACAATTCTGATGCTTTCAAACTCCAATCTCCAATTCGGTGGCTAAGTATGGAGTTGCGAAGGACTTAACGGGTAACCGGGGCTCCGGCTCGACGTGCAGGAGTAGGAACGGGGTGGTTTTTAGTCAGTAAGAGTCTGACACTCCCTCCCGCCTCAACCGGGCGGGAGAAGTCATTGGATAACTTTTCCCCTCAAAAAAAAGTGTGGAAGCTCATGAGTTACCCATTTTTTGTAGAGGAGACCCAGCCAGTACCCATTATTGGTTGTATAGAGCCGACTGAGTTACAAAAGATATGGCTTCGTTACAAAGTACCCAATATAGTATAACAATAGCTACTGTCTCTGTACTGAATCTATCTTTATTTTCTTAGGGGGCGTCCATAAATTACGCGAGATGCTTAAGAGGGGGTAGACTCAAATTTCATCTAATCTTACGTTGGAGAGAGGTCTCAGTACCGACTTCATAGTTCATTTATTCCAAATTGTACATGCTCAAGATTTAATTGTATATGCACATGGATTTTTCCCCTTTTTACAATAACAATCCAACGCGTTTACGTGAAAAACCAACATTTTGAAGAATCTCACGTGAGATTGGGGGTTGGGGAAAGGTGTTGAGTAAAATCTCACGAAATCTCACCAAGGGGGGAGAGAGGGACAGACAATTTAAAAAAAACACCTCACACAACAACTGTTCAAGTTATCATGCAATACTGACTGCACGGTTGGTGCGGTGGCTGGGCAACCGGCTGCCGTGCAACGTGTCGCGGGTTCGATTCCCGCACGGAACAACACTTTGTCTGATCCACAAATTGTTGTTCCGGGTCTGGGTGTCATTGTGTATGTGAACTTGTATGTTTGTAAACGCACCCACGACACAGGAGAAAATCCTAGTGTGGGGCAACGTTTTTTTTTAAAAAAAAAAAAAATTATAATCTCAAATTTCCCTATCTCCACCAGGAAATACAACACATCAAAGATGAGCATTCGAAATCTCTAGAAACTCTACGGTCAGATCTCCAATCTGCGGCAGCTAGTTCTAGAGCAGCGCTAGAAAGAAGTCATGCTGAGCGTACCCGTGCAGCGCTCGCCCAGTTACGTGCTGAGGCACAACAAGATGCCAGGAATGCTGATAGAAAGCTCCGAGAGGTTACTGCTAGGGTAAGCAATGATTATAGTTTGATTTTAGCTCATTTTGGATCTTTCAATAATGACATCATCATTATCACGCCTTTTATCCCCGAAGGAAAGAAAAACATTTAGACTTAAAGACTGCCTCGTTGGCTGAGTGGGCGCAAGTGCGACTGCTGGTCAAGAGGTCTCGGGTTCGATTCCCGGGTCGGGCAAAGTATTACTGGGTTTTAAAAAAATTATCAGTAGTAGCACGGAGTCTGGAAATGTGCCCGGTATATGGCAATAGACTCACCGTCTATTACATGGGACTCATAACATAAATAGTGAAAAGTGGGTGGGGATTTACAATATCGATACATAATTTTAAGATAGCTCCAATAGGGTAGTTTCCTAAATTTTATTTTAATGTCCGTCTGGTACATCAATTTAAAACTTTAGACACGTATATTTTCTTTTCTCACAAAATTAAACACTTTCGACGATATATTAATTTGAAATATCGTGTGACGTCACAGCGTGTCACATTTTGTAGCACGTTATGACGTAACGACCTCCCACTCCTAAACTTAGCGCCATTTTATCTAAGTATTGTAAGTTAATAGGAGAAAATAAATATAATAAAATACGTGTCTAATATTTTTTTATTATCTAACAGACGGACTGATTACCCGAAATTAGAAACTACCCTATTCTAATGAAATGTACAATTCTATTTCAGTTGGAGAACTTAAAAGAAGAACTAGCGAACAAAGAGAGTCAATACGAGCGAGCCATAGCTGAGGCCCATAGCAAGGCAGACTGGGACATAATGCAACTTCGACATATGCTGGACAAAGCAGACATCAACTATGCTAACAAAGTTGAAGAGATGAGCGAGAGATTCGAGAGAGAGAAAGGTAAATGGTACATAATTATCATCCACGAAGGGATAGGCAGAGGTGCACATTATGCCACTGTACAATGTAACACCCACTTTTCACTTTTTATGTTATGAGTCCCATGAAATAGGGGGTGAGCCTATTGCCATGTACCGGACGCAATTCCAGACTACAGACTACTGCTACAACTGAAATTTTTTTAAACTTTTAAAACCCAGTAATGGTTTTATAATAACTATCGTGAGACATACAAAATTAACTAAAAATCGCGGGGTACTCACGTGAATATGTATGCAGTAGACGCGTGTAGGCTGCCCGACATCGCCGCGACCGCGCACGCTGCTCATGAGGACGAACCCCTGTGTGGTTCGAAATTAGTAGAGCTTTTCCCAGTATATTCACGTGCGTAACCCGCGATTTTTAGTTAAAACCCAGTAATGATTTGTTCAACCCGGGTATCGAACCCGAGACTCCTTGCTCGGCAGTCGCACTTGCGACCACTCGGCCAACGAGGCAATCAGATCGAGGTAAATGTTACTATAGTAGATTAGGGCTGGATCTTGTTCACGTCGTGTAGTGTCGTGGTGGCCCGGAGGTTTAAGACGCCCGCTTCTCATATATGAAGGTTCGAAACCTACCAACGGCAAGTACCAATGTGACTTTCTCCGAGTTATATGTACTTTCCAAGATTATCTAGACACCACTGACAAACGGTGAAGGAAAACATCGTGAGGAAACCTGGGCTTATAATTTCTAACTATAAGTTTGAAATCGCCAACCTACATTGAGCAAGCGCGGTGGTTAATGCTCAAATCTTCCCCGTGATAAGATGGTCAGCAGTAGCTACTTATAGGCTGTTGATGATGACGATGATAATCCTCCTCCTCATTTATTTTTAAGTAGACTCAAAACGAGCTCCACGCTACCTATCAAGCCCTGTCGTCTGATACCCATAGTGACGGCAGTTGTAGAAGAAATTAGATTATACCTCTATTGTAATGTCATCAAGATTATCGCGGAGACCGCTTCACCTAGCTTCACTGACGGACTGACTGACAGACTATTATTTATTTTGTATTTGTTGACGTTTCAAAATTATGGTTTAATTGAAATAATTGCTTTGACTTTGAGTTTGACTTTAGCTTGCCCCGTTTGTTTGTTTCGGTATTCAGTAATTGTAATCACCCCCTTCCTGACGACACATCGATCTGATATTTGGTACACACTCTTTATCTTGATGACCATTTCTTTTTGTTTTTGAGAGAGGAAAATCATCGAATTACTGCTCCCGCCTTGGCGAGGCGGGAGGGAGTGTCAGACTCTTACTGACTAAAAACTACCCCGTTCCTTCTCCTGCACATCGAGCCGAAGCCCCGGTTACCCGTTAGGTTCTCCGCGACAACAGGGGTAGATTATGATTTAGAATAACCTACTACTACTTTTTATCCCACGGGAACGTGGGTGGAGCCGCTGGCAGAGGCTAATTCACAAATATTGTTTTCTAATCAACAGAAAGTTTAATAGAAGAATGGACAGAGAAGTTAACAGAAGTAGAAGAACAAGCAGCTACAGCAGCTGATGAAGCAAAGAACCTTCTAGAATCTACTAGACTGAAGCTCATCGCAGAGAGGATGGAACAGGTCAACAAGCTGAAGGAACAACATCGACAGGAGATGGGTATGTCGTTGTTATCTTTAGAGAAGATTTTACCTTAATCCCCATGCTTGGCGGACGACTTAGAAATTGGGTAGATGACTAATTTTTATTTCAATGTTCGTCTGGTAGATTATTTTAAATCATTAGACGCGTATCAAGTACTTTCGACGATTTATTGATTTGAAATATCGCGTGACGTCATTTCTAGGTAGAAATTAGCTGCCCGATGGTTGAAATTAGCTTAAACTGATATTATAATTGTGAAAATATGTGAGTGGACCGGGATAAAATTTGGAACCTGGAAGGTAAATTATGGTCTTTTTTTAACTCGTCGAGTACCGTCATTATAGACACAATTATAGAACAATAGGTTGCGGTCACCGGTGACCGCTCGGTGTTTGACAGTTTAAGGGGGGAATAGTGTCGAATGACTTCTCCCGCCTGGGTGAGGTGGGAGGGAGTATCAGACTCTTACTGACTAAAAACCACCCCGTTCCTTCTCCTGCACGTCGAACCGGAGCCCCGGTAACCCGTTAGATTCTCCGCGACTCGATTATGGTCTGGAGTAGGTAACACATAGGCTACCTTTTGCCCCTGGGAACGCGGATGAACCCGCTGCCAGGTGCTAGTCCTAGAATAAGTGGCTGAACAAAGTCCTCCCTCTTAAGATAGAGTTTCCTGTAATTGAGACGATGACAGGGTATGAAAATTAAAAACATAATTAGTCCGTAAGTTACGTAATGAAAAAATATTAGACACGTATTTTTTTATTTTGTCGTATAATAAAACAATACTTAGATAAAACGAATCAAAGTTTAGGAGTGGGGGCTAAAATGTCATTTCTACGTATAAAATGTACATAGAAGTGACGTCACGCCACATTTCAAATCAATATATCCTCAACAAACTTGACCGTCTTCTAAATAACTGCATTCGATTCGTTTCTAACTTGCGTAAATACGACCATGTGTCTGCACAGCGATCATTGTTGAAATGGTTGCCTATTCGTCAGCGCAGAGAGCTAAGGGCACTCACAACTTTATTTTCTCTGCTTGACTCTCCCAATTCTCCTAACTATTTAACTTCCCATTTCCAGTATGTATGTGACAACCATACTAAAAATCTACGCTCCTCGCATAATCGGCTGTTGCACTGTCCTGTCCATCGCAGTAACTTTACTCATTCTTCTTTCTTCATTCAAGTCATTTCTCTCTGGAACACGCTTCCAACGAATGTCAGAACCGCAACCAGTCGTCTGAGTTTCAAGCGGAGGGCGCGTGAGTACATTAGCGGAAAGCTGGCAGTTTCATAACATCTTTCATAATTTTTCATCTTGTTGTAACATAGGACAAATTCATATACGAGTCACAAATATATTTATATGTATAATGATATTTATATTATATATAATTTTATATATCTATACGATTATATTTACGTATTTTATGTATGCTTTTGATACCCTTTTATTAATTTGGATAATTACCACTATTTCTCATGACAGTTTTGCAGCTTACCACCTACCACATACATTTCTGCACTACCCAAAGGATGACTGGCAGAGAATGCTGTTAGCATTAAGTCCTCCTTATGCAATTGTATAAAACTTAAATAAAAAAAAAAAAAAAAAATATATCGTGGAAAGTATTTGTTTCTGTAAGAAAATAAAAATTACGTGTGTAATGCTTTTAAATAATCTTCCAGACGGACATTAAAATAAAAATTAGTCATCTACACTATTGGGTTGGCAAAAAATTTGCAGTAAGTATAGAACAATATATTTTTTTAATTCAACTAACATTTTAACTACAGATGACCAATGGGAACAATTTATGGAGGACAAAGAGAATTGTCTAGCGAGAATGAAAACGGAGTGCCGACAGGAGGGAGAAGAAGAGAGAGTTAAAAGGGAGAAGGAATTGATAGAAGAAATAGCCGGTAAGAAAATTTTCTTTTATTTTGTCTTCAAGGCCCGAGCGAATAGGTTGCTTATGGGACGACGTGCTCCATCGTAGACCGCATCATCGCTTACCACCAGGCGAGGTGATGATCAAACGACGGCCCAACAAATATAAAAAAAATAATATAAATGATTGGACTTTTATTTAATGTCCGTCTGGTAGATTATTTTGAAACATTAGACACGTATTTTTTATTTTCTTACAGAAACGAATACTTTCGACGATATATCGATTTGAAATGTCGTGTGACGTCACTTTTGAGTATATCTTTTTATTTTATTACATAAGCCGGTAAACGAGCAGACGGATCACCTGATGGTAAGCAATCGGCGTCGCCCATGGTCACCTGGAACACCAGAGGCGTTACAAGTGCGTTACTGGCCTTTTGGGGATTAGGAGTTTGAGGATCGTTGGGGATTCAGCGATTGGGGAGATTGGGGCAGGGTAGGGTAAGGCTAACTCTAAAATGACGTCGGTCGTCGCTACTCCTAAACTTAGTTTCGTTTTATCTAGGCATTATTTTCTTGTTCTTATACCTACGACAAAATAAAGAAATACGTGTCCAAATGTTTAAATTACCTCATTGATTTTTAATTTTAATACCCCGTCATTATTTATATGAAAAAGCATCACTAAATAATATTACAGAATTGAAATCCCAACTCCAAGCTCAGTCAAGTGAGTACGACCACCTCGCGGTCAAAGCAGCAGCTTGTGGAAGAACATTGGCTGTCACTGAACAGGAATTGACGTGAGTTCTCTTGACAAATTATATATACAGAGTCGTATTATCCCTAAGGCGCTCTAGACAAGTGCCGGGCGCCAGGTTACAGAGGGGCGCCGCGAGACGCGCGTGCAGAATTGTACATAGAGTGACGGAGGCGACAAAAATATTAGGGGCGCCCGTGAAGTGCTTGCCTAGGGCGGTCTCTAGGTTTAGTCCGCCTCTGTACTCATTATACCTTGTCATTTTGCATTTTTATTCTATGGTTTTTAGATGTATGGGGATTTACTTGATTTTTTTTTTGAAAAATTGCTAAGGTAATAAATTATGTGACTATGATTTTGACTTTGGCTTTAGCTTTGACTTTGACTTTGACTTTAACTTTCACTTAGACGTTGAGTTTTACTTTTTTGACTTTGGCTTTATATTTGACTTTGACTTAGACGTTGAGCTTTACTTTTGATTTGACTATGACTCTGACTTTGACTTTTACTTGGTTTTGGCTTAGACTTTGACTTTAATTTTTGACTTGCTTTATCGCTGATTTTCAGGTTACGTAAAAGTAGTGTATCGTTCTTTTCTCTAAAATGCATGACACATCTTTCAAAAAACGTCTCTACGTTTTTTGAAAGATGTGTCATGCATTGTCAAAATCGGGCGTCACCTATTTATAAATGTAACAATAATAAAATCCTCGAATGGTAGTTAAAAATGTTCTAAAATAATCTTTTTAATCCCCATATATCTTTACAGTTTGTTACTAACCTCGAAAAACCCTCATTCATTTATGCAAGCCCCATTACTTTTAACCGACTTCAACAAAAAGGAGGTTTCATTATTAAGGTGCTCCCACACAGCAGTTGTATAACGCTACATCACATTGTGTAACATGATAACATTTTGTAACATACTCTACAACATGTCAAGATACTACCTACTATAAATTTGTTGTAATTTGTTTAAAAACAAATGTTAACTTAGTCTCTAACGTTGACCTGCTCTCGTCTATGCCATTAGTTTTCTAGCCAATCGGAGGTTCAGGTCGGGTGGGGTCAGTTGCGGGATTACTCGAGTTTTCTTACTTACATAGGTAGGAACTGCTGTGTGGAAGCACCTTTAGTTTCACAATTTTTTTTCATATTATCACAGTTACTGTAATGAAATGCGTTAAAAGCTTTGTGAAACGAATGAAACTATTCTATATATGTATGTAAAGATATGGTTTGATCAAAGTAAGATATTTTGTAAAAGTAACATAACATAAGATAACGCCTTTTATACCCGAAGGGGAAAGCAGAGGTGCACATTATGCCACTGTACAATGTAACACCCACTTTTCACTATTTATGTTATGAGTCCCATGTAATAGGGGGTAAGCCTATTGCCATACACTAGGCACAATTCCAGACTACTACAGAGATTTTTTTTAAACCCAGTAATAGTTTGCCCGATCCGGAAATCGAACCCAAGACCCCTTGCGCGACAGTCGCACTTGCGACTACTCGGCCAACGAAGCAATAAAATTATGTAAGATGAAACTGGAGTTTCGACATTCGACATTAAGTGTGGGCTCGCCATGCTTAGGCACGAAAGGGCCGGCTCGACCGGAGTGATACCACGGCCGAGCAGAAAACCGACGCACGCAACGCTTGCGTTGTGTTTCGGCATTTCAGTGAGGTAACCGGAGGCCCAATTAGCCCTTTCCCAATCCCCGAGTCCCCAATAATCCTCAAATTCCTAATCCCAAAAGGCCAGTAACACACTTGTAACACTTCTGGTGTTTAGGGTGTCCATGGGTGATATCGATTGCTTACCATCAGGTAATCCGTCTGCTAGTTTACCGGCTTATGCCATAAAAAAACACGAGTTTTACCAAAGCTTTTGTATATTTGAAGTCTAATATTTGTACGGACTGCCTCGTTAGCCGAGCGGTCGCAAGTGCGACTGCCGGGCATGGGATCTCGGATTCCATTGCCGGGTCTGCCAAAGTATTACTGGGTTTTTTTAAAACAATTCAATAGTAGCACGGAGTCCGGAATTGTGCCCGGTACATGGCAATAGGCTCACCCCCTATTACATGAGACTCATAATATAAATAGTGAAAAGTGGGTGTTACATTGTACAGTGACATTAAGTGCCCTAATGTGCACCTCTGTCTACCCCTTCGGAGATGAAAGGCAAAATGTTATAGTCTATCTTTGCCCTAAACATATCTTTAAATACATATCTTCATTAAACCCATTTAAATCTAATAAACCAAATGCAATTGGTAGCGAAATTTGAACTGAGATGCCTATATTTTTTACTTTTTAACTAATTATTTTTAACCCTAATATTTTTATTAAAATATAGTCTTTTGGACAAATTTGGCTACCATGACGTGCATGTCAAAATTCACCTTTGAGTGGTAATTTCCATTTTATTTTATAATATTATCATGGTTAATAACATTCTGTCTCAGTTTAATTTAAAAATATACACCATCAAAGAGGATTGGAAAATGTCTTTTTTATAGCCTAAAATTATAAAGCTACATGTTTAAGAGTGTCTTTTTTAAGTTTCTAGTAATTTAACTAACAGATAATTTGACGTATTTTCCACACCAAATGCGTCAAAATATGTGTCATTTCTTATCTGTGCCTTTAGCCAAACGCTACTTTAGCGCTTGTCTACAGAGAGAGTAGAAAACTAAATGTATGGGGATGACACTGACAAGTGTCAAAATTTACATAAATTCCATATAATTTGGTTTTCTATTCTACATGTAGACAAGCGCTAAATGGCATTTGGCTACAGCTGCTGGTTATTTTTTAAATGACACAACTATTAGAACTGTCAGATTTGACAGTTAAGATCGTTAGAATTCAATATGAAAGGAATCGATTTACAATTAAATGTCTATTGTTTAAAAACCGAATTAAGTAATATAAAACTGACGTTTTCCAAATACCGACACATGCACATATTTTTTCAATTTAAAATCAACAGGATTCATAAATGAAGGAAATCAATGTCCAAAAGGCAATATTTTAATAAAATTGTTACGTAATATTAATTAAGAAGTTTTACTATTTAAGTAGCACCTTAGATTGTACTTTAAACATAATTGGGTAGTTTCCAGGGTATCAAAACTAAAAATCAAATTAGTCTGTTAGTTAGATAATTAAAAAATATTAGACACGTATTTTTTTGTTTTCTCGTATTAAGTTGCAATACTTAGATAAAATGGCGTTAAGTTTAGGAGTGGGAGGTTGTTACGTCATAACGTGCTACAAAATATAACACGCTGTGACGTCACATGATATTTCAAATTTATATATCATCAAAGATATTTAATATTTTGTGAGAAAAGAAAAAATACGTGTCTAAAGTTTTTTAAATTAATTTACCAGACGGACATTAAAATAATATTTAGGAAACTACCCTATTATGTAGTATCCCTTAATTTAGAGGAACCTACTAGCGATTTTAAATTAATTACACGGGTAAATACGAGCAAAAGATGGCACTCGCTGACGTCACCGTATCGTAACTGCATCATAATACTCCCCCAGGACAATAGTAACACACTTATAGGGAGATTCAAAGCCGTATTATCCCTAAGGCGCTCTAGACAAGTGCCGGGCGCCAGGTTACAGAGGGGCGCCGCGAGACGCGCGTGTACAACTGCACAGTTTAATTTAGCGCTGTAGAGATTAAAGATTTATTCATGATGAAGACGGAATTGTAGCCGTTATATGGCAATAGGCTAACCCTATATTACCATTGCATTTACCTATCTCTTTCGGGGATTCAAAAGACGTTACATTATGTTATTTTAACAATTGGCTATATGCGCGACGGTGGCGACGCGTAGCGTTTACAACATTTGCGGAAGCTGTCAAATAATAACAATGTAAACATTATAATTTTCTTTGCAAATATAAATAAAACCAAATATTAAAGTAGTATTGTTGACATTATTTAAGAGCAATTTATTCAATAGTTTTACTGTAAAATGAATATAATAATAAAAACCGGGTTTGCATCATCCGCATTTGTTTCCAATTTCTGCCGTGTTGTGCGCTGCGGTCGTTATCTGTCCGCCACTACTCGCTTTGCACATAGCCAAATAAGAATGCGCTTACAATACGGCGTCGTAAACGAAGGGGCTCAGAATGGCTTCATTGTGACAGTGTTGGCGCCTTCGTGGTCCTTCTATGTGCGTGGAGTGGATGTACGCTGAGAATGTCTCTCTTCATCTCTTTCCTGGCCATCACCGTCGTCATAGCAACCAGGATCTTACGTAGAAATAGACGGCATACTAATATTTAGATACTGTTATAACAAAAGTAAAAGAAAGACGTAGTTATGCAAAATTATTGAAGCCTTGTAATGTTTAATGTCGAGACTAATGTCTCTGTTTTTACACACAAACTGCTTGCGAATTGCGCTTACCTTTGCATTTCTCTACACTCCTACAGCGCGCTACACGTCTCACAGCTCGCTACGCGCAGTAGTTACAGCTGTGTACAGTCGGTCACTCTCTCAGCACTCCCCTACACTCTTACAACTCGCTACACGTCACACAGCTTGCTACGCGCAGTAGTTACAGCTGTGTACAGTCTGTCACTCTCTCAGCACTCCCCTACACTCTTACAGCGCGCTACACGTCTCACAGCTTGCTACGCGCAGTAGTTACAGCTGTGTACAGTCTGTCACTCTCTCAGCACTCCCCTACACTCTTACAGCGCGCTACACGTCTCACAGCTTGCTACGCGCAGTAGTTACAGCTGTGTACAGTCTGTCACTCTCTCAGCACTCCCCTACACTCTTACAGCGCGCTACACGTCTCACAGCTTGCTACGCGCAGTAGTTACAGCTGTGTACAGTCTGTCACTCTCTCAGCACTCCCCTACACTCTTACAGCGCGCTACACGTCTCACAGCTTGCTACGCGCAGTAGTTACAGCTGTGTACAGTCTGTCACTCTCTCAGCACTCCCCTACACTCTTACAGCGCGCTACACGTCTCACAGCTTGCTACGCGCAGTAGTTACAGCTGTGTACAGTCTGTCACTCTCTCAGCACTCCCCTACACTCTTACAGCGCGCTACACGTCTCACAGCTTGCTACGCGCAGTAGTTACAGCTGTGTACAGTCTGTCACTCTCTCAGCACTCCCCTACACTCTTACAGCGCGCTACACGTCTCACAGCTTGCTACGCGCAGTAGTTACAGCTGTGTACAGTCTGTCACTCTCTCAGCACTCCCCTACACTCTTACAGCGCGCTACACGTCTCACAGCTTGCTACGCGCAGTAGTTACAGCTGTGTACAGTCTGTCACTCTCTCAGCACTCCCCTACACTCTTACAGCGCGCTACACGTCTCACAGCTTGCTACGCGCAGTAGTTACAGCTGTGTACAGTCTGTCACTCTCTCAGCACTCCCCTACACTCTTACAGCGCGCTACACGTCACACAGCTTGCTACGCGCAGTAGTTTGATGTTTCCTAGTCAGTCCGCAATAACTACAAACTCATTGTAGATCGAATTTTTACATAACTACGTCTACTTTATACTTCTCTCATTAGATTAGACTTTTGGCTCAATTTGAATCTAGATTTAAGGTATAATCTAGCTTTTTGTCAGTTTGAAGAAAAGTGTGGATGACTAAACATGTAGGTATTTTATAAGATGAATTTGTTCGAGAAAAGCTCGACTAGTTTCAAGCTACGTTGGAACTAATTTAATCTATGTTTGCGTACATTGAAATATTTGAAGCCCTAAGAAAATGATTAGGTCTCAAAAGAGATTACCTCAGAAATCTGTGGAGCTAGTAAGTTTATTACAAAAATAAAATGTTAAAAACATACTTCAAAAATTATATCACCTAGCGATAATCTTTTGCCGCTAAGTCATGTATTCATCAATGTCGAGACTATCGACCATCGACATATTATAATATTGGACATGCCTTTTTTTTTTTAAGGGGGGAAAATCATCGAATGACTGCTCCCGCCTGGGTGAGGCGGGAGGGAGTGTCAGACTCTTACTGACTAAAAACCACCCCGTTCCTTCTCCTGCACGTCGAGCCGGAGCCCCGGTTACCCGTTAGGTTCTCCGCGACTCCGAATCGGATGGACATGCCTTAGAGATGAGAATTGTGCCACTCCGAAAGAAAGAGAGGAAACAAAGTTTCGGTCTATCTTCATCTCTCTCAAAATAGTACCGTAGTTAAGACGTTATGAGCGAGAAAGAGATAGCGCTATACCGAAAGCATAGGTCATCTCTCTCACTCTTTTCAAACCAAAAAATTACTGCAGATTATACGCGTACGGCATGTCCGTCAGTATAATAATATGTCGAAGCTATCGACCCAGGGTTGACCAAAGAATTTAGATTTTCAAAATTAATTGCGTCCAATCGTCTCTTAAGTTGGAGTTTCCTATCGAGAATATACCAACCAACTTTTGGCCAATATAATATGTTAGTTTTTTGAGAATAAACTTTATACAACTAGAGAACTGATATCCTAGATTATAGCTTGAATATAGATTTTAGTAGATATATTGTTTGCATTTTAGGACATTGTAAAACAAAAAAAAACCTAATATGACTTTAAACTACGGCAACGCCTCTGTCGGTGAAAAATGGTACAATATTTTGATATTGAGTGTTAAAAATATATTATTATACTCAAGTTCGATGTCCATGTCGAATGATTAAGCTATATTGTTATGTATTTCTGCAGAAGTAAACTTCGAAAGCACTTATAGTTCCTTTAGCAACCGATAGAGGCGCTGTTGTCAGGTAAAAAAATATATTACTAACATTTTTAAATTTTTATTGCTTTATGTAATAATTTTATTAAAAAATCACTGCCAATTTGGACTGATATTATCGTACACAAAACACATAACACGGCATATTAGTTTTAAATTCACCATAAACACATTTTTTTTAAATTTCATTTTAACGCGGCATCTGGGTCTTTGCGCTATTCTGTGGTAACTTTGTCTATTACATGGGACTCATACCATAAAGATCTGTTCAACAATGGATTTTACATTGTATATTTGAATCTCTGTCTACCCCCTCGGGCTGTATTGTACAAGAAATTATCCAGATCCCTCTAAAATATCTTATAGTTAACGTAAAATCTATGATTTTTTGGAATTTTCATTTTAAAAATTCATAATTTTATATAATATTGCGTACAATAGCCAGCTCATCAACCGAATTTAATGTGTCAATTTTTGTTATTGGATTTTCGACTTTATGTCCAAACGATAGACTGCCTCGTTGGCCGAATGGTCGCAAGTATGACTACCGGGCAACGGGTCTCAAGTATGAGTTTGTGGGTCGAGTAAAGAAAAAACTAAGATTTAAAAAAAATGTCAGTACTAGCACGGAGTCTGGAATTGTGCCCGGTACATGACTATAGGTTCACGCTCACTCCCTATTACATGGGACTCATAACATAAATAGTGAAAATTGGGTGTTACATTGTACAGTGGCATTAAGTGCCGTAATGTGCACCTCTGCCTCATCCTTCGAGGATAATAAAAGGCGAGACGTAATTATGATACCTACAGTTGAAAATCTAAATAAAAAAAAATGTCAGTAAAGTGTAGATTGATCTGCTGCCCACTGTACCTAGTTGCAGCTACAATCATTACAATTAAAAATCACGGGCTACTCACGTCAATATACTGAGAAAAGCTCTACTAGTTTCGAACTTCGCGTGCGCGGTCGCGGCGATGTCGCGCAGCCCACTGAGTAGGCGCATACTCCCGTCTGTACAACCGTCTGTGGTTCGAAACTAGTATAGCTTTTCTCAGTATATTCACGTGAGGAACACGCGATTTTAGTTAATTTAGTATGTCTCATTGTAGGGAGTATAAAAACATACAATCATTATTGTTTGTGTATTAGGCAGATCTTTTCATTTAGTTGATTCATAGTTTAATTCATCACTGCTCAACTACTTTCATCATTAATATTTTCATAAAATCATTAATTTTAAATGTATTTTCATATATGTTTCGTGTTTGCTCTTTTTCTATTTTTATACAATTTTGAAAGTATATATTTATTTTGTGTGAAATCGAAATAAAATGTGAAAAAAGTATTTAATGTTTTGCAGTTGATGATTTGTTAATATTGTACACTTGACATTGACAATTGGATCAGTGTTGCCATTATTCAAAATTTTGTCACAACACAGACATAAATAAAATTTTAATCTTTATTTTTTAAACTAAATTTACCTACTAAACCAATTTTGATATTTTCTTTTTCTCTAATAGAATAAAACACTTTGATTTTCCCCTTTTTGAACCTATTAATTTCCTTTAAAACTACAATGGCAACACAGTATGGTAAATGCACCTGTCACCAGCACCGAAAACGTAAGGTTGAGGCACCTATAATCGGCCATGCATAAAAATTTAGTTGAACACGTATTAACTGTCTTTCCTTAACCGACTAACTGATAGAGAGGCATTGGCGAGAGAGAAAGAATTACGAGAGAAGAGATCAGAAGATGCTGCGAAGATAAAACAAGTGGAGAATGCTTCGAGGGAACAAATTGAACATCTTACTAGAAAATGCGCCTGCTTGAGGAAACTGTAAGTACTTTCATACAATTTCATGTAAAAAATTCTCTTCTTTGTAGTTTCACTGTACCGTATTAACTCGTCGAGTACCGTCATTATAGACACAATTATACAACAATAGGTTGCGGTCACCGGTCACCGCTTGGTGTTTGACAGTTTAATTTGAAATTGAAAAAGAAGTATTGTAGCTTAATTTGAGATTAGTGTACTGGAAATATATCCTAACATTTACAGATCAGATACAAATTCTCTGTAGACAGATGACACCGTGTACGAAGATTGATTATATTTTACTTCTCATCCTTATTAAGTATTTCCAACCACCACAATAGGGACGATGACAGGGTATGAAAATTAAAAATCTAATTAGTCCGTAAGTTAGGTAATGAAAAAATATTAGACACGTATATTTTTTATTTTGTCGTATAATAAAACAATACTTAGATAAAACGAATCAATGTTTAGGAGTGGGGGCTAAAACGTCATTTCTACGTATAAAATGTACATAGAAGTGACGTCACGCGACATTTCAAATCAATATATCGTCGAAAGTATTCGTTTCTGTAAGAAAATAAAAAATACGTGTCGAATGATTTAAAATAATCTACCAGACGGACATTAAAATAAAAATTAGGCATCTACCCTATTCTCTTCAGAAATATGTTACATACTTCTTAATTGTTCCAATTTATTCCTACAGCTTCGACGATATTCGAGCGAGACTCACCGCTCGAGAGCGAGCGGCGGAACAGGAGTCCAAAGCCAAAGATAAGGAGCTCCACCAACTGAGGGGCGAAGTCGCCAGACTCACCAAGCTGCTATTCGAACAAAAGTAAGTAAAATATGCAGTTGACTTGACAATTTCTACACTACACGAATCACTGTTTACATGTCAACATTAGCTCATGACGATACCAGCGTACGTGTGTCACTGGACAGTGAACCTCGCTACCATCAGTTGACTGGACAATCTTACTACTCTTCGAATGATTTTACTAAGATTTTGAACTCAAACGTCACACATTCAAGGTGATTGGTAACTAGAGGTATATTCTTCTAATGCATGAGGCTATTTCTGCACAAATTCACGCCTAGTCGTTTTTCTTAGCACTCCAAAATTAGGCGCACGAACAAGAGCTGATGGTTGTGAGACTGCGCCCCCCGAGGAGACGGCAGCGGAGCCCCGGCGCAAGGGTATGTCACCCTGTATATAGGTGAGCACTTGTCGCTATAGTGTGTGGAATGGCTGATGAAACACCCTGTGTTTTAGTTGATGTTGAGCAATTGTTATTAAATGGCACTTTTCTTTTGGTAGATGGCGCTAGTTTCGTGTTTGGTCTTGTTAGTCTTATACCTCGATGTTAAATAATTAAATCATTTCATATTTTATTTCTGAGGCTATCATCGAGTTGAGATCTCTTCCCTGGTGAGCTTAAAGGGTCTCATTTCTTCCATATTTCCAACTTTGTTCTGATAATAAACAACACAGCATTTAATGCAGTCATTTTGGTAATACATGCATACATCTTTTACATATGGGGAACACTTATCATATAGATTTTTTTCCTACACTAAATCAGAGCATCTTTTCCATACGAATCTACATTTCTAAATGAGCACCTACCTTCACAGATCGACTAATTGACAGACTGCCATTTTAACTATAGATCTACCATACTTAACTCGCTCCTAGCGCCATCTACCTATAAATTCAAACGCGATAATAAACTCCGTCTAAAATTTGCCCAACGCTGACCATAACACCAGGAGTAGTGGTTAACCAAAGGTATTTGACCCTTCTGTGTTAATTTATTTTCTATGAAAATTTTACTTTAAATTGAGTATTCTTTACAATCTCGAATTGTAAAGCATGAGTTTTTTACGTTTACGAATGAAAAACAATACTTTCAATGCGGAATCATGGCTTTTATTCCTAAAGCTGGTAGAGTAGAATACATTATTGGTCATACTCTTTCCGCGGGTGTCGTATACCCGACTAAGGGACTGCACATCTGACAGAGACCGGGCAGCAGAGCTCTCTGATAAACCTGCGATCTCCAACCCGATCCGATCTAAGCATGGATATTATAGCAAAGTATCTTATGTAGAGGAGACACATGTTCCAGCAGTGTGAAATCAATGCCCCGATCACAGTCTTAAAGGTTCAAGTTTATCAGAGGGCGCTACTGCCCGGTCTCTGTCTAATGTGTACCTTACCCTATGTGCGCGACGGTGGCGACGCGTAGCGTTTACAACATTTGCGGAAGCTGTCAAATAATAACAATGTAAACATTATAATTTTCTTTGCAACTAAAAATAAAACCAAAAATAAAATAGTATTGTTGACATTATTTAAGTGCAATTTATTCAATAGTTTTACTGTAAAATGAATATAATAATATAAACCGGGTTTGAAACTATTACACATAATATTAGTTTCCAACCACAAACTGAGACAAAAGGCAATAAATTAGTATTAGCCGAGCATGTAAGAAATGTGGAAGTACTGCGACATAACGGCCCGAGCTACTTAATACAAGCCATGGTCCATTTCTTTACTTGGATTTTGTACTGCAATTAATACATTTGACAGCTAATCATCCGCATTTGTTTCCAATTTCTGCCGAGTTGTGCGCTGCGGTCGTTATCTGTCCGCCACTACTCGCTTTGCACATAGCCATCGCGCGGGAAGTCACTACGTCACTAACTTACTTCGATAGACGAGAAAAATTCATGCTTTTCGATTGTTTTTTCCAGTCCCATTTTTTGTGTTAGCTTTTTTTTGTTCATGTTTGTAGTTTTTTTTTTGTTGTACATTTTTAAACTATACACCGTACCTGTGCTAGGTAAGCAGAGTACCTTTTACTGTGTTATGTGTGTCCATAGAAATGTTTTGTAAATAAATCGTCATTAAACATTTGTTTTAGTGATTAACAATTTTTCTTTTAATATGGAGTACATGGGAAATCGTAGTGTTTTGATAACTTCCTCCATCGGCTTCACCTACGTTCTTGTAGGTTAAAATGTAGCTTGCGTTATTCAGGACTATAATCTACCCTGTTCCAAATTTGATCTCGATCACTTCTTTGACGTCGGAGCCGCGGAGAACCTAACAGGTTACCGGGGCTCCGGCTCGAAGTGCAGGAGTAGGACCGGGGTGGTTTATAGTCAGTAAGAGTCTGACACTCCCTCTCGCCTCACCCAGGCGGAAGAAGGCATTCGATGATTTTCTCCCCTTAAATGGGGGGCATGTCACAGAAATCATAAAGGTTCAATGTCAGAGAAAATTTTGGGCCAATAGTTAAAAATACGGCTATAAGAAATCGTTTAAGTTCGACAGTATTCCAGAATAAGCGACAGCAATGTTTCTTATTGGAGTTTTATGAAATTAGGAATAATATCAATTACGTGTTTGAGTTAGTGTGTGTTAAGCCGCGTTATGAAGCTAGATACAAGACGACGGCGTGTAGTTCGCCCTCACAGATTTCCATAATTTCAGAAAAATTTAAAATATTTACCTACAATTTTTTTATTGATTCGAACTCAGAATCGATATCCTAGTTATCTCCTAGAAAATGACGCGGCTTTAAAACAACATCTTGTATATTAGTGTGTTTCGTAGGAGTAATAAGTTACTGGTAGCTGTAACCAACTCTGGCGACGTACATTAGAACATTTTCTGGTGTTACGGGCATCCACAGGCTATATACGATTTCTCATGCACTCTGTTTATTATAGTAGACTTGATTTTGTTAGCTGTAATTACAAAAAAAAATGTAATATAGTTGTTTTTAAACATTTTTCCAAATTAATTCCAAAAATTTCTGGCTTAAATTCTATTCTATGCTTTTTGATCTATTTTAGTAACTTTTTAAATAATGAGTACCTAAGTTAAAAATAAATGAATGTTATTGTAGAAGAATAAAATTATAAAATAAAATAATTCCAAGCATTGGCCTTTTGAGACAAATGGCGGTTTGCAAGAGAAATTTTAAATAAATAAAGCTACTTGCTATTCGTGATCCGTTTTTACCTTTTTAGAAAAAACTTTTTTGCAACCGGTTGACATTTATCAATCTATCAAAAGTCTTTTTACACTGATATGATAAGAGTAATTTTTAAATCTATGTCTTTTTATTATTATTTTTCTTATCAAGCAATGATAATTTAATTTTACAAATTATTATAATGAACTAGCTTCATACGTAAATCGAGGATCGTATCGTCAAAAACCGCTATTTGTCTAATAGAAATAATAAACAAAAGCTTATTTATATTTTTATTCTTTTAACAACCAACAGGTGGGACTCTTCGAACACCCGAACCAATACGGAAGAACTCGATGCTATCCGATTTCAGCCGAGCTCGTCTAACTCCCGTAGAAATTCAAGGAGGTCGTCCGCGAGCCAAAAGCGTGGATCTACCGGCAGTGCAAGTGCCAGTTAGGATAAAGCCAGTGGCGTGCACACCATACATGCAAATAAGCACTGCATACCCTACAAAATCATGGTAAACCTACATAGTCAAATACATAATGTCACTCATAAACACGACATGAATATTTACTGACATCATACAGAGATTTCGTAATTTTATTGATACTTAATTTGAAAAAGTGGTCACTAACGCCATCTATCGAAAAAATATTGAAGTACTACAACCACTTTCTACTTTCTTCGATATATTGCGCCAGTGGCGCCGCCACCTCGCTATTGTGTGATGGTGGCGGAAGCATGTACTAATGCGTAGCCGGTACAATTTGCTTGTTTTCTCGTGCTGATGTTGGATTTTTTTTTTGTTAGGTTGGTAATTTCTATACAACTGCAAAAGCACTGCTTCTTCGTTATCCGACTAATTTAAGAAGTCAACAAAACGTAGCGTTTGTTGATTGAAAATAGATATATTAATTTTGGTCAACTTATTGTTTACGTTTTTTTTGGCCATTTTGTTTTGGTTATGTTTTTATGTGCAAGTGAATAAATTGTAATGTAATGAATTATAATTTAAATGAACTGTTAATTTACCGAAAATTATGTAAAATTATAGCTGTGAGCTCTGTGCTGGTGATTTGTGTTGTTCAATAAATTAAATATGAGTGCGTTGTCCTTATTGTCGTTCGAAGAAGAAACGAAAATATTTCCAAAGGCGATTTTGCGTGTGTCGTATGTCCGGGCTAGGCGTAACTCAAAAAAGGTAATAATTTTATTATTTCTTTTAATAAACTACGATTTGCGATTATAGGTATAGTTTGTTTTGTTAGCACTGGTTGTGTACCAATTTCATTAATGTTTTTAAAATCCAGTCATCTTGATCTCGCTTTGTACGATTTTTCTATGCATTTAACGGTCAGTTTATACTGGTGTCGCATAGCTTGATGTGTAACCATTTGTACTTCGCCGCTCCAAAGTAGGTACCTAGTTAATAGATTTGTAAAATAGATACCTAGGTATCTATGTTGATCAACTTTATACACGGATAGTTTGAAAATAATTATGTACCTAATTTGTTTAAACAAATTAATAAAATTCTTACTAAACCTAATTACCTACTCAAAATTATGATGTTTCGGGAGTTTTATTTTCCGAGATTAATGTAGACCAAATTTTTTTAATCATGTGATACCTTCTGCCTACCCTACTTCAAATCTCTGTGCACGCCCCTGGATAAAGCAATTGGAAGAGAGGAATAAAGAATAAAGTAATTAGTTTTTTATTGTACATTGGCGATTTGAGACCTTATTTTTTGCTAGTTGAGGTGTGATTTGGAATTGAGATCCTTCTTTTTTAGGAGTATTTTCTTAGGTTTTACGGTACAAAATTAAAACTACATTGGCAGCTGTGACTTAGATTCTCCCAGTCCTAATTAAAGTTACTATTTATTCTCTTCGTCATCATATCAGCCATAAGACACCCACTGCCTCACATATTACTCCTCATTGATTAATCGGCCATCGATTGGTTGTAAGCGATCTTCATCCAGCGATTCCATGCGACTATTGTTTTACATAAAATTTAAAATCCTCTATATATTAAATTTAAACGATAATGTGCCATTTTAACTCTACCCTAAAGCTCATTATCATGCCCCCTAATCCAATAGTGACTCGACATCTCAGCCAATGTATTATTAAAAACTATTTAGTTCTATAAAATGATTCTCAATTTAGTAACTTAGCAGTCAGTCGTTTTTGAAACTGATTAATTTCATGATAATCTAATATAAGTACAGGAGACATAGCTTCTTCCCTTGATTCGAAATAGAAGAGTCTCTGGCACTGGAGCCTACACTGATCAACATTTCTAATAAAATATAAAAAGCTTGGATTAAGATGATTATTCTTTTTGAGATTAATGGAATAAAATCTGAAATTTAGGTTCGCAACTAGTTGCCGACTGACTAAAAAGTTAAATTTTCTAATACTTTATACTCTTTTGCTTATTCGCCTTTAATACCGAAGAGAAAGGGTATCAAACGTATACTATTAAATAATATAAGTGCAATAATAATAATATTTAATAGATATTTTAATAATACTCATTATTATTATTTTTTAATGTAAAATAACATCTGCAAAGAATATTATATTGATGTCTTACTAAAAAAAAGTATTTAATGAAATGCAAAATTTTTGAACTAGCCATATATTTTGTTTTTTTTTTAATTTATTTCGCTACTCGATAAATACCTTTATCATTCGTCTCGTTGGGTAAATAATGAGCATCAAAAATGCATCATTTATAAAATTAATTCCGTTAAGTCATTTTCCGCCACATTGTCCTAAAAGAAATTACCTTTTAAGGAAAATTAAAAAGGTACTCCTCTCTAAACAACTATTATTTTTCAGTTATTAACTGAATACGAAATCTACTCAAAATATATTAAGGTCCAATACTTAAGATCTGTTTCATAATATTTATAATATATCTCAATTACCTAAAGTGAAATATTTTTCGTGTGAAAATTACATCAAATTATTCGTTAGTTAGACTGAAAGCAATATAAAATTCTACAAGTTACACACGTAAATATACTGAGAAAAGGTCTATTAGTTTCGAGTCACAGAGGTTCTTTCTCATAAGCAGCGTTCGCGGACGAGGCGATGTTGGCACTCCCTCTGTAATTATTAGTTAAAACAGCATGTCTCACAATAGTCATTATAAAAAAATATAAAAGATATTGTGAAACAGACTTTTATAGAAATAGAAATAAAAGTGTGAATGAAAATAAAATAATGATTCTCAAATCGTTTTACGATTAGCAACCATACACTTTTTTGCAAAGGCTTTCTAGATTCTGCCTTTTTTAATGTCGTCGAGTGAATAGGAATCTTTACTTCGTAATAAATCGATATTTAAGATGAATGGTTATGCAACTAAAATGCATTCTCTTAACATTTATATAAAAGCTGTATTTAATCGTTGACTGTGTACATATTATTATGATTTTTGTAATAAATATTTTGAAAATATACTGTTGCGTTTTATTTTTTCCTGACGATGTTACAAATTATAAACAATCTCGTAATCCTCCTAATGGAAAACAGTTGTGCATATCATGTAAATATGATGACAATTATAAGATACAGGCACTGAGGAAACTTAATGTTTCATGTTGAATTACTATAATTCTTGATCACTTATACCTAGCAAAAATTAATAAGTAAAAAAATTACACAACGAAAAAAAACGTATTTTCATTTATAGAAATTGATGATATGGTAGATATTTATATATAAGCTAATAATAATCCTGTACATTTGTGACAAGGACATTGAAAAAAGGTGTACAAACAATCAAAATATTGCTTAAATAAAGTTTGTGCTGCTCTGAGATAAACGAAACGTTTCAACCTAATAATATCTGTCAATGTCAAATGTCACAACATTTGCTCAATCCTAACCTAAAAACTGGGCAAATAATATTTTGAAAATCTGCAAATATTTAAAGAATATTCCTTAAAATGTCGGCCAAAAACATATTTTTGAAGCCAGGCTTCGTGCGGGCGCCATTACAGAATGGTGTGGGGCGTTATGTGTGTCAATTGCAAAGAATTGTGTTAAAATTCTGCAAATCCAATGGATCGAGTCGAGGACTAAGGTAATTTGGTATTAAATTTATATTTAGAATTGTTAATACTTTAATTTATATAGATTTTGACATGGTATGATGTGAGAAAAGATTGACTTCGTTGTTAAAATAGTACATACACACTATTTATCATTCATGTTATGTATTCCTCCTATCCTAATTAGATTAAGGGAGGTAGCCTATTACCAAACAACCATAATTGTACTTCCTCCTGGCTAATAAAGAATGTATAATAATATAAGAATATTATTTTAAGAAAAGTCACCATAGAATTTCTACATTATTTTTCTCTATGCATCTTTATTTGCTATGAGTTCCTAAGTAGCTTTATTGTAGGGACTGATCATCAGACAAATGTTCAAATTTTTGTTGACTCTAATTTAATTTGAATTGATAAATAAAGGACAAGATGGCGACAAATGTGTTCCCCTGCCACTAACAAACTGCTTCACTCAACATTATTTCTAATATTCACACATAATATCACACCTTTTATCCCCGAAGGGGTAGGTATGACACTTAATGCCACTATACAATGTAGCACCGACTTTTCACTATTTATTTTATGAGTCCCATGTAATAGGGGGTGGGCCTATTGCCATATCTGTGGCACAATTCTAGACTCCGTGCTACTACTGAGAACTTTTTAAAACCCAGTAATACTTTGCCAGACCATGGGAATTGAACCCGAGACCCTGTGTCCGGCAGTCACATTTGTGACCATTTGGCCAATTCGGCAGTCACCAGTTCTAATATCCAATTTTGTTATATTACAGAGACTACATAGAACAAGATCTCGTCGACTTTGCGAAGGAGAATCCCGGAGTAGTTGTGTACTTGAAGCCTCGCAGACATCGAGGACCTGTAGTTGTAGCTGAATATTGTAAGACATACATAATACTCATTTTAATTATTTATATAACTTAATTGTACATCATCACGCGGGACGATCCGGACGATCTCCGGCCACCGTAAGCGCGGGCCTGCGGACGGCGAGCATGAGTAGCTCCCAGTCCGACCAGAAACAGACCCGAGCGTTCCGCGCGCGCCTCAAAGAGCCATCAGACCACCACACGTGGGGCCCAACGGGGCCGATGCCGATTCGGAGTCGCGGAGAACCTAACGGGTTACCGGGGCGTCGGCTCGACGTGCAGGAGAAGGAACAGGGTGGTTTTTAGTCAGTAAGAGTCTGACACTCCCTCCCGCCTCACCCGGGCGGCAGCAGTCATTCGATGATTATCCCCCTAAAAAAAAATTTTGTACGTCATCACACGTTTTACCACCGAATGGGTAAGCAGTCATCAGTCTTGCCACTGTACAATGTAACACCCACTTTTTACTATTTATTTATATTATGACCCCTTGCCCGGCAATTGCACCTGCGTTTAAGCCACCGAGGCAGTGTTTATAAATATTTTTTCTTTTTGTTCTTCGCAGTAAATGGAGACCGAGTATGGATGAACATGCACAACAAAACGCACTCAGAAATAACCAAGTGGATTGATGTCCTCCGGACTCAGCAAGGAGACAATTCCACCACGAGGCTCAGGAAATACCAGTACACTGATCACCCATCCATCCAAGGTCCTTGGACTCCGTTCACATTTAAAAACCCAGCTCTCAATACTGCAGAGCTACCGAACCAGGCATACGGAGCAAATGACAGGTTACCGATGTCAGCTACAGAGCAACTTCGGTTGATGTTCGAAGCTCAGAAACTGGGTAAAAATGAAGAATTGAAGACCGCAGAGTGATTGTATAGTTTATTTAAGTAGTTTTAGTGTAATAAATTGTTTTAGTAAGGTTTTTTGTTGGTTTTATTTTCTATAATTTAAATTTTAGATCTTCTTAGATCTCTTCAAATTTCTTGGAAACTAGAGGTCCTAGCTAGAAAAATAATGAAATTTTCGGTACCAGCAAAGCGTGCACAGCACTCGGGAGTACCATCACGTACCTAATGTTCAAAGGTATTGCCTAGCTAGCGTAAACAGAAAGCATAAGAAAGATAGAAAATTTAAGATACAATCGACACCAAACTCCGTCGGTCCGCCGATAGAGTCCCTCACTAATTTTTCACCACCTGCTCCTGCTCAGTGTCGACCCAAATTCTGTACAAGTATCCTATTCGTTGTCTATGAAAGGTAGGACTAGTAAAATTAGGACAATCCCAACGCCCACCCCGGTTGATGGCGCCCCAAATCCGATGCAAGAATCCCTCTAAGGTTACTCTTGCCGTCCTATCTTGGCGCCCCAAATTCTGTACCAATATCTTTAGTCATTGTCTATGAAAGGTAAGACTAGTAAAATTCTTTGAGATTATTATATTCTTACAACATTATTATTTACACAATTGTTTGTAATCATTCAATTCAATGGACTTAATTTTATTAGGAATATAATTTTTTTATAACATATCTTTGTGAAGGCAAAATATGGAGAAACTGTAAACTTTGTTAACACAGCTACATATTATGTTCCAATGTTTGCAAATGATAAAATTAATATGAAATGAATATGAAAATTAGGAGAATCCTACTACTCGACGCCTACCCCGGTTGATGGCGCCCTAAATCCGGTAGGTAGGTACATGAATCCTTATCATGAATCTCTTGCCGCCATATACCTACCGTTTAGTGGCGCTCCAAATTCTATACCAGTATCCTCAGTTGTCTTCTATAACGGTAGGACTGGTAAAATTAGGAGAATCCAATTACTCACCGCCTACTCCCGGTTGATGGCACCCCAAATCCGATGCAAGAATCCTTAGTCATCTTCTATGAAGGGTGGGAATGGTAATCTAATAGAATCCTACTGCTCGCCGCACACTCCTTGTTGGTGTCGCTCCGAATTCTGTACCTCAGTCGTCTTTATAACAGGTACGACTGATAAAATTAGGAGAATAGAATTCTGATACTCACCGCTTACCTCCGGTTGAGGGTGTCCGAAAAGCGATACCTACAAGTATTTAGTTGCAGAACGGAATCCCCTCTGAGCAAATTTTTTGCCGCCTGCGTCTGCAGGCGCTCTAAATTCGCGATACAAATACCAGTCTATAGTCATCGCAAAGTTGGGAAAATACCTCTATAGCATGTCCTCCTCTAGAGCCTTAACAGAGGCTCTCAAGGCTGTAATTATTCACAAAAGATAGCATTCATTGTTGACAGTAGGTAGATGCTTTTTACACTGGATGCGATAATATTTCTAAAGAAAACGTTATTGGGAAAGAAAAACAGATATTTATCTAAAATTGACTCCGAGAAAGTCACAGATTGGACTAAACTCGATCTGGAGGCTTACTCTTGAAACCAATTTTTTCAATCCAATAAAATCTCAATAATTATCCAATGTCAAAACTATATAACCCCTATCGTAGCTGTTAAAGTAGCATTCAGAGAACGTAATAGAGGGTAAACTCAATGCCATTTAGTTCATTCAATATCCACGCAATACGAATGCAATGGGCGCTGGTGTTGAAACTCAAGAGTATGAAATTCCACAATACCAATGTCGATCGATCGGAATTGGATTCAAGAGTAGGTAAGCCCCTGGTTCACTTTAACCTCACGAAAACTGCTATTGGTTTTATCTCTTCGCTTCCGACGGTTTTCCATCATAAGTAATCGATCTTAAGTTCTACACTTAATCTCGCTTCACATTATATTATTGGCTACCACTTCAATCAACACGGTGGTGTTGATTGAAATGGCAGTGGAACATGTCATGAAAGTTAGTCACGCTTTCTTTTTTATTGCGGATTCAAAGGTTCGAAGTGTGTGAAAAGTCCATTATCACGTAATTGCAGATCGATCTAGTTTTCTAGCACGGTTAATTTTGACTTTTTTGGCTACACCCTGATGTCCAGTAGACGGTAGCCTCGTTTTTAGAAATTTTTTTTAAGTGGGGAAAATCATCATTGACTGTTCCCGCCTGGGTGAGGCGGGAGGGAGTGTCAGACTCTTACTTACTAAAAACCACCCCGTTCCTTCTCCTGCACGTCGACCCCGAGACCCGGTAACCCGTTAGGTTCTCCGCGACTCGTTTTTAGAGCCTAATTACTTCGTGTAGTCATTTCCTGTGTATGGCTGAATGAGCCTCGAAGCTAGGTGTGCTCAAAAGATCGAGGCAGTATTTCACACCGGCGCATCACCTGTTGCTTTATTTATTTATTTAAGACTCAGTACAGTAACAAATGTACAGGTGGACTTAGTGCCTTGGGCATTGTCTCACAATCGACCTTAAGGTGGTGCAGAGATGAAAGTGGCAGGTGACAGGTGCTTTATAAAACCAGGCTACGTTAGCAACACTATTCTCATCATTGTTTTTCATTTAAACTTTATTATTTTACTACCTTAGCATTTATTTAATTTACTTTATTTATTTTACAATTTTTAATGAAAGGGCCGTGCGAGACTTTGCTTTGCCATTTCTCTTCTAATCACCCATGTTCTGACAGTTTGAGTATTTATGCGACCCATCTAAATGTTCTTTTGGTTGGTATTGTTCGTCGGATCAGTCAGCCTCACCTGTTAATTGAGCTGACTGTCACTGTAGCGGCATTAGGGAACGGCGAAGTTGGGCCATCGCCCAGGTTTCTGTTTCTATAGTATCATTTTCCATCACAGGTTATATAGTTAGGTACTTAACTCATTTCTTTTTTACTTACTGTTAGACGCTACATTGATTTCAATATCGATTGAATGTTCACATAAGCATACACTATAAAAAAATGCGCTACGTGGTGTGGAATTTAATTTTCCTCGTAAATGCTCATTGATTTGTACTTTGCGGTGCTCTGGTATCAAAACTACTTATTTTACGAATAAGTTGTCGAAACATAATTTTAATTAAATTTTGTAATCAACGTTTTCTCGTAAAATGAACAAGAAAAGAGGTACTTACGTATTGTAAAAAAAAAACTGTTATTGCCCGCCATTTGTCCAAATATCGTAGCTGCACGAGGTTGCAAAACGAACTCATCAAATATACAATTTGCCAATTTTCAACAATCCCAGAAAATATTACAGGCAAACATTAGATTAGATAGATAGCATTAGATAAATAAATCAAATCGAACTAAAGTTAATTGAAAATGAAATTGCAGAAAACATAGACATTTCAATATCCGACCACTAGAAAGGCTAGAAAATAACATTTTTATTAGGTTTTCAAATTAAATAAAGTATTTTTGTCTCCTCCTTCTGCAAAGCAGTTACGCTAGCCAAGAAGGAGGCGGAGCGCGAGAGGTAAACATCCTCCCATGTCCCAGTCGCCGCAGTCTTCTTCAAATACCGATGCGGACTCTGTGGACGGCGACCAAAGATACCTCACCGCCTGACAATTATCAGGGGGCTTACTTTTGAATCCAATTCCGATCGAATTCGATCGACATTGATATTGTGACATTAATTTCGTACTCTTGAGTTGTAACACTAGCGCCCATTGCACCCGTATTGCGTGGATATTGAATGAACTAAATAGTATTGAGTTTGGGTTTATATTCCGTACAAATGTTATTTTAGCGTATTGGATCGCCACTTGCAATTGCACTTGCTCGCAATCGTAGCGTATTCGTCGCAAAAGTACGTATATTGTCAAATCAATGGATGAGAGTATGATTATTTTTTAATTATTTATTGCATTGAAAAGTTGAAACAATTTATTTTTAAACCTAGGAAGGAACCTAGCCAAATGGGTAGTTGTCAGGGTATGAAAATTAAAAAACTAATTAGTCCGTCAGTTAGGTAATGAAAAAATATTAGACACGTATTTCTTATTTTCTCGTATGAAGTTACTATACTTAGATAAAATGGCGTTAAGTTTAGGGGTGGGAGGTCGTTACGTCACAACGTGCTGTAAAATGTAGCACGCTGTGACGTCACAGGACATTTCAAATCAATATATCGTCGAATGCAATTAATTTTGTGAGAAAATATAAAATACGTGTGTAATGTCTACCAGACGGACATTAAAATAAAATTTAGGAAATTACCCAATTGGATGGGACAAGGAGTACCAAAATAAAAGGCGTAATGATAATTTATCCATAAAGGCCTATATTTATTGATTTATTTATACTTTGTTGACATTTTCCGTGTGTGCCCGTTCATTTATCTGTGTGTCATCGCTCATCTCCTGACAACCGCTCCGCAAGCCATTCTCAACTCTATATTACATAAGTTACAGTCCAAATTCCTTTGTTCCAATGCATTCATACTGAAGAAATATCAATTCTATCTTTAATTGCATAAAGTTCACTTTGGAATAACATAAATAGTAACAAATTTTAAAACAAGTCTTAAGGTCTAGGTTTTAAGGTTGATTTTCGCTTAAACACATTCGTTTCTGAGTCCTTTTGAAAGTCAATCTCCTAATACATAATGCACTCCTGGTACTTCGATTTCATGTTTAATGTGAAAATTTAACATTAAAAAAAATATATTATTTTGAATCCCAATTGAGTACTTGCCAACTAGTCAAATTCAATACTTCGAACTGTCAAAAACGACAGTTTTCTATGAATTTTGTACGAGATTGTGTATTGTGACGTCACGTTTTTTTAGCATCAAACAACATAGTTATTTCTTATAAATTGCTGGAAAGATACTATAGTCAGAATTTTAATTAGATTCCAGATTTGACAATAGCTACTGTCATTTTGTGAAATAATGATACCACATATAATAGTGTAGTGATGAACACAAAAATCGATAAACAATCAGTGTGTGTGTTTTATAATAAATGTTACAGAAAGTGACAGGATAGCGATAGCGATGACGGCGACAATTTATAAAATAACCTATTACCATAATACATCTATCTGTTTTATTTGCCATGTTCCTTCATGATTACATTTTTTTATTTATTACACACAATTATAATAAAAAAGTCTCAGATCGTTAATTAATCGTCAAAACTAGTTTACGAGAGTAAAATTATAAACGAGAAGAATCGATCCAGAAATATTGCATTTCCATATCGAATAATTTCGCAACGTCACTATTTAGTACTTGGCACAACGTTGCAACACTGAAATTGTCAAATCTGGAATCGAATTAAAATTCCGAGTATAAAATTAAGTTGGTCATAAAATCAGTTAATGAAAGTGTGATTATATTATAATATTTTATTGTATTGAACAGTCGAAATAATTAATTTTTGATTAAGGCAAGTACCCAATTGTAACTAATATTATAAATGAGAAACAAAGTTTATTCATTCAAAAAATCTTTTCCCCAATTAAAAACATATTTTTCAGGAAGCAACATAGATATTTATCCTGTCAGGAGATTTGTACATGAATTATATTAACTTAACAAAAAGTATAGCAAATTTTCACAATAAACATAAAACATCACATATTTTTAAAAAACAATAATTTATGTAAACCTTCCGTTGGACATACTAAACCATTATGTTTTCGGCTTACTCACGTAAAAATTTGACGAGGACCTCGACTAGTTTGAAACCATGCTAGGCGCATATTCATGAGCAGCATTCCGCGACCTGCGACGCGGCGACTGTCGCGCTGATACTGGCTACTCGAGTCTTTTTTTTTTTAAGAGGGGAAAATCATCGAATGACTGCTCCCGCCTGGGCGAGGCGGGAGGGAGTGTCAGACTCTTACTGACTAAAACCACCCCGTTCCTTCTCCTGCACGTCGAGCCGGAGCCCCGGTTACCCGTTAGGTTCTCCGCGACTCCGAATCGGCATCGGCCCTATCGGGCCCCATCTGTGGTGGTCTGATGGCTCTTTGAGGCGCGCGCGGAACGCGACGCGCCGTACGCACGGGTGCTACTCGAGTCTAGCATGTCTTGAAACTACTCGAGTTCCTCCTCAAACAGTTACGTAAGGCAAAAACATAACAATTAAATGTATTGAATAGTTTTTCTTTACAATAACTTCAGCCAAGTCATTCAGTATTCAGGTAAGGAAGATAGATTCAGTACACAGACAGTAGCTATTGTTATACTAAATTGTACGCTCTGTAACGAAGCCATATCTTTTGTAACCATTGGTCGGCTCTAGACAACCAATGGTTACTGTCTCTGTACTGAAACAATCTTTATTTTTCTTACCTACATACTGAATAATTTAGCTGATTATACACAAATTCATGTCAATTGCTTATAATTGTAATAAAAATCATATATCCAAATCTATACACTCAGAAAATATTTTCGAAAATAAATACATAACAATATTTTAATAATAAAACAAAGAAAAGTGAACTTTACTCTTTCTTTAATTAAATTGTACTTACTCACGTAACTGTTCGAGGAGGCTCGACTCGTTTCGAGCTACGACAGGGGCCCATAACTTTGAGCTGTATGCGCGACATGATCATTTCTCGTCTAACAGTTATGTGAGTAGAGCTCAAATATTAAAATGCTACTCAATTTTAAATTTAAACTTAAATATTGCGCTATCTCTATCATTGAACAGTTTTATATACCTTGCCCCGTTTGTTTGTTTCGGTATTCAGTAATTGTAATTCCACCCCCTTCCTGACGACAGATCGATCTGATATTTGGTACACACTCTTAATCTTGATGACCTTACAATATAATCTAATTCTTCCCACAACTACCGTCACTATGGATATCAAACGAAAGAGCTTGATTGGTAGAATACAGCTCATTAACTAGTCGAGTACCGGTTTTGTAGACACAATTATAGAACAATAGGTTGCGGTCACGGGTGACCGCTTGGTGTTTGACAGTTTAAAACCGTTTAACATAAAAATAGTTTTTATGTATAATAACTTGTAGATAAATATTATTGATAGCATTTTAAAATTGAGTAGCATTCGAGTATTTTAAACATAAACTAAACAAATGAATTCATTTACTTTGTCGTTTTTAAGTCTATTATAGTAAAATTTCGTTTATTAACTATTTGGACCTACACTTTTATGATATTTCTTATATAAAAGACACATATTTATCTACATGTATACATACAAATTGTATGTCAGCGGTAAAAAGGACAATCTTATACTATTATATAAATTTTGTTTGTTTGTTTGAACGCGCTAATCTCCGTAACTACAAGTCTGATTTGAATAATTCTTTTTGTGTTGGATAGCGCATTTATCGAGGATGGCTATAGGCTAAAAACATCACGCTACGACCAATAGGAGCTGAGGAGAGCGTGTGAAACCGCGCGGAAGTAGCTAGTTATGTTATAAATCTGAAAAGATTTTTTGTAGATTCTAATGAACTACTTGGTCTGAATTTGAAAATTCAGTGATAAATAAGTCCATATATCGAGGAAGGTTTGTCCATATATCATGATCAATCGGGAACTTGCCAACTAGTCAAATTCAATACTGCGAACTGTCAAAAACGACAGTTTTCTATGAATTTTGTACGAGATTGTGTATTGTGACGTCACGTTTTTTTAGCGTCAAACAGCATACTTATTTGTTAAAAATTTGCTGGTAAATTACTAAAATTAAGTTGGTCATAAAATCAATTAATGAAAGTGTGATTATTTTTCAATATTTCATTGTATTGAACAGTCGAAATAATGATTTTTTGATTAAGGAAAGCACCCAATTGAATCTGCGCCGCGAGTGAAACTGCGTGAGTAAGTAGTTATCATATACATTTCTACCGCTGACATACAATTTGTTTTGCATCTCTTTCTCACTTACATATATCCATCTCTTTCATTGGAACAGTTACATCGGACTATATATAACATCACGCCAATGCCTGAGGTCACAGGCAGAGGTGAAACACACCTATATAGCAATCCACACACAACTATAACCTTTAAACCTTGTCTGACCAGGGGATCGAAGTCGGGAACAAGGGTTTTCGAGGTTAGATCGTTTATATGTCTAGATTTTTTGTATACAATTATTTAGTGAGTGACAGATTGTACACAGCTGTAACTACTGCGCATAGCAAGCTATGTGACATGTATTCCAATAATAGAATGAGAAATTTTGGCGTTCCAGAAATATCATAACATAACATAACATCACGCCTTTTATCCCCGAAGGGGTAGGCAGAGGTGCACATTATGCCACTGTACAATGTAACACCCACTTTTCACTATTTATGTTATGAGTCCCAAGTAATAGGGGGTGAGCCTATTGCCATATACCGGGCACAATTCCAGACTCCGTGCTACTACTGAGAATTTTGTAAAAACCCAGAATACTTTGCCCGACCCAGGAATCGAACCCGAGACCCCTTGCCCGGCAATCGCACTTGCGACCACTCGGCCAACGAGGCAGTCAGAGGCAGAAATATCATTATAAAGATTTTATGAAGTAAAATCAACTTTCTTTGGAAAAATTTCCCGAAATACTGAGAATAAAACAGGATTTTTAACGTGTTTAATCACCATGAGATTGGCAAGCGACTGGCGCTAACTGAAAGATTTACCGATAACAGTTCATGAAAGATTTGTTCCGTGTCTGTCTGTGTGTGATGTGTAGGTGAACTTGTATGTTTGTAAACGTACACACGACACAGGAGACAATCAGAATACATCTTTATCTTTGTAAACGAAGAAAATCGTAGAACGAGGAAATATTTTCATAAGAAAACCTAATATAGGAACATTTTAAAACAAGTTACATAACGGACCAAACGTTTTGAATGTTTAAATATCTGTCTTTATTTCGATAGAGTAGTTCTCTAGACATATAAAAGACCTGACCTAGGTTACAGGGTGGAGTACGGTCAGGGCGCGAGATGGCAGGGTGGCAGGGTGGGGTGTCAGTGGTTGGGCGGAGTCTTGGCAGGCGAGGCAGGGGGGGGAGCGCTCCAGTCGTCTGCTCCCTCGTACTGGGTGTTCTCCAGACGAGTTATGAGGCGCTCGTCTTCATCTCCGAACTCTCCGCCCATTAGAGATGGTTCTCCTACCACCATTACATCCTGGGGAAGAGAAAAATAAGATTATAATTATGACATACATACACATACACATTTGACTGCACGGTTGGTGCGGTGGCTGGACAACCGGCTGCCGTGCAACGTGTCGCGGGTTCGATTAACAACACGTGTGATCTACAAATTGTTGTTTCGGGTCTGGGTGTCATTGTGTATGTGAACTTGTGTGTTTGTAAACGCACCCACGACACAGGAGAAAATCCTAATGTGGGGCAACGTTAAAAAAAAACCCATCTTCACGCCTGTGTCCCATTGGGGTAGGCAGAGACAAGGGAACACCAAATGACATGATTCTGTCATACCTCTTTCGCTACATACATAGGTATAAAGTGATAGTTAAAATTGTTGTAAAGTTCCATATTTTGACGGCAGACTAGAATATAATCGTCCCCACCTCTATATATTAATCAAATTGCTACATCTTCTGCAAGAAAATTTGTAGACCATTACTACTGAATAATAGTTTAATTGGACTCAAAAATTCTACAAATAATAATGATTATTATAATCTAGAACTTTGACAATGGATTACAAATAGACATATTTATGTACATTTACTTCATTGATGAGCACACTATGTACTATGATGTAAATTGAAAGGAGAGTGAAAGCGGGGAATAGTATTAACCCGTTGAAATCCATCCCCTAAATTTGGTCATACAAAAGTAGTCTCTAAACATTAAAAATAAGGTCTATAATGTAATGTAATATTAGTGGAAAGCGGTCACCGGTGACCGCTTGGGGATTTATGGGTTAATGGTGCTTTACACTCTGTAATGTCGAGTAAAATAATATCCAGCAAAGCTCGACTTGCTGTAATGCAGTGTGTATTGACACCAACGCTTATGTATGGTAGTGAATCATGGGTGTGGCAGAAGAAGCATGAAAGCAGGATTAATGCGGTGGAAATGAGAGCCCTGAGAAGTATGTGTGGACTAAAATTGAGTGATCGAGTGAAAAATAGTACTATTAGAGAAAAGTGTGGATTGAAAAATGATGTAGTGACAAGGATTGAAAAGGGAATGTTACGCTGGTTTGGACATGTAGAAAGGATGGATGAAAGTAGAGTAACGAAAGAAGTATACAGAGCGGATATGAATGGGGCCGTCGGTAGAGGGCGCCCTAGACGGACATATAGAGACCAGATTGGCGATATATTAAAGAAGAGCCAAATTAAAAGTACCCTTAACCAACGAGCATGCATGAAAAGATTGATGACTATTAATGAAGCGATGTAGGAATCGTAGTAATTGGCGTTCCATAGTCTCTGCCTACCCCCATGGGAGACAGGTGTGAAGTTACTCCTATGTACTATATTCTTTACAGAAAACATATCACTTTAGGCGGTATTCACGCGAACAGCCACATACAGTCCACTGCCCCCCCACAGTCCTCCCCCCAATGACTACATATCGCGAGGTCGGAAGCGACCTGTATACTCGTACAGCATATCAAAATCGTGCATTACTTGATAAAGTTTTAAAAACAGTAAATTAACTAAAATCGTGGGTTACCCACGTGAATATACTGAGAAAAGCTCTCCTCGTTTCGAACCCCCTTCCTCAGTGAGCTGCGCGACATCGCCGCGACCGCGCACGCTGCTCATGAGGAAGAACCCCTCTGTGGTTCGAAACTTTTCTCAGTATATTCACGTGAGTAACTCGCGATTTTAGTTAATTTAGTATGTCTCACGATAGTTATTATAAAAATAGTGTGACATACCTGCGAGGCGAGACTGAAGTTAGGTCCGGGCGATCGTTTCTTGGCGGGCGCGGGCGGCGCCGCGTTGGGTCCGCCGCTACCCTTGCGCTTGCGTCGCTTGCTGGCTGGACGCTGCGACTCTGGAAACATAAACAATGCTGTTTTAGATTTGACACGTCTTGGGAGTCATTTCTTATGCTATTTTAGATATGTCATTGGAAGTAATTTCTTAAAGGAAACTTCATTTTCCTCTATACTTATTATAGATTTCATTGTTATGAAAAAATGACAATGAAATAAAATGAAATAAGTTCTAGATAAAAGAAAGTGACCCTAACAACAGATAAAATTCCATGTTTCCAATCGACTCCATGTTTTACGGAAAAAAAAATTATTAATTCTTTACTGGGTCTGAGATTCGAATGTCTACCTTTTGCCTACTCGACCGACGTAGCAGACGAGTTATACATAAAATTACTGCCTCCTGGGACTGCCGGGCAAGGGGTCTCGGGTTTGATTCCCGGGTAGGGCAAAGTATTACTGAGTTTTAAAAAAAATCTCAGTAGTAGCACGGAGTCTGGAATTGCGCCCGGTATATGGCAATAGGCTCACCCCCTATTACACGGGACTCATAACATAAATAGTGAAAAGTGGGTGTTACATTGTACAGTGACATCAAATGCAGTAATGTGCACCTCTGCCTTCCCCTTCGGGGATAAAAGACGTGATGTTATGATGATGATGATGATGGAGACATAAAATTACTGTCTTGATATGAATTTTGCGTTTGCAAATACCAAAAAAGTCCTGATTCAAAAGAAATAATTTCACAAAATGAAATGTAGTCTACAGTCAGAACAAATTTTTAGCATGCAGTTAAAAAATATAGATTGTTTCAGTACAGAGACAGTAACCATTGGTTGTCTAGAGCCGACCAATGGTTACAAAAGATATGGCTTCGTTACAAAGCATACGATTTAGTTTTTTTTTTCGGACACAGCCTCCCAAAACCGCTGCAACTCCTGTGCACCACGATCTACAGTAGATACAACCATGAAAACACCGGAACACTGAAGTCCGGCGCGACCCAGGGACATGAATAACTGTCTTGGTTGCCGCAACGAAGTGAATCAGAAGATATTATAAGAGGAGAAGAAATATAAAATACAATTTAGTACAACAATAGCTACCGTCTCTGTACTGAATCTATCTTTATTTTCTTACCAGCAGCTATAGCCAAATGCCATTAAGCGCTTGTCTACATGTAGAATAAAAAACTGAATATGAAATTGACGTAAATTTTGACACTTGTCAGTGTCATCCCCATACATTTTGATTTCTACTCTCTCTGTAGACAAGCGCTAAAGTGGCGTTTGGCTAAAGGCCCAGAAAACTGAATAAATTGGCTAATTGTACTAGGTACTATAACAGGAATCAGTAACAAAGTAAAGTAAGTTTAACTCACCAGGTGGCGCCACCATCCGTTGCCACTTCTGGAAGAGTGTAGTCTTGAGGCAGTCGCGCGGCGACAGAGCGTACGCCTTGTGACGGGACATCAACTCCTGCATCGGCTCCAGGATCACGCATAACTAAAAGATAATAAATTATGTTAAACTAATTACTTCATTTATTGTATTCGCTTAAGATTGTTTCTTTAAGTATATGAGAGCTATGCTTCGGTACGAATGGGCCGAGCAGAAAAGCGACGTGAAACAGCGCTTGTGTTGCGTTTTGCCTAATGAATGAGATGAATGATGATTCCATTTCATAAACACACATACATACATTGCAAGTTAAATAATGACTGCCTCGTTGGCCGATTGGTGGTGGTAGCTCGGAGTCTGGGATTGTGCCCGGTATATGGCAATAGACTCACCCCCTATTACATGGGACTCATAACACAAATAGTGAAAGTGGGTGTTACATTGTACAGTGGCATTAAGTGCCGTAATGTGCACCTCTGCCTACCCCTTCGGGGATAGAAGACGTGATGTTATGTATGTATGTATATTAAATAACTAGCTACATCCGCGCGGTTTCACACGCTCTGCTCAGCTCCTATTGGTCGTAGCGTGATGTTTTATCGCCTATAGCCATCCTCGATGAATGCGCTATCCAACACAAAAATAATTATTCAAATCAGACTTGTAGTTACGGAGATTAGCACGTTCAAACAAACAAACAAAAAAACATATTCTTCTTGCTTTATATAATAGTATAAGATGACTATAGTCAGAATTTTAATTAGATTCCAGATTTGACAATAGCTACTGTCATTTTGTGAAATAATGATACCACATATAATAGTGTAGTGATGAACACAAAAATCGATAAACAATCAGTGTGTGTGTTTTATAATAAATGTTACAGAAAGTGACAGGATAGCGATAGCGATGACGGCGACAATTTATAAAATAACTTATTACCATAATACATCTATCTGTTTTATTTGTCATGTTCCTTCATGATTACATTTTTTTATTTATTTCACACACAATTATAAAAGAAAAGTCTCAGATCGTTAATTAATCGTCAAAACTAAATTATCGGTTCAGAAATATTTAATTTCCTGATATACTTAGTTTACGAGAGTAAAATTATAAACGAGAAGAATCGATCCAGAAATATTGCATTTCCATATCGAATAATTTCGCAACGTCACTATTTAGTACTTGTCATAACGTTGCAACACTGAAATTGTCAAATCTGGAATCGAATTAAAATTCCGAGTATAGT